TCATTGACATTACGGTTCAACCGATATGACTCCAAACAACCAATCAAAGCGTTACATAAAGTTGCAAAAGTCTGATTTAAAAATCAAACTGCTCATACCTCATAGTTTCTCTTCTTTCGGCTTCTTTGGGAGTAAGCTCCCTAAAGCCGTGGTCAAGGCGGTGGATGTCATTAAGGAAGCAGTAAGCTATTAGCCTGTATTAATGTCAGATTCAACATCAATATATCAGTAAAGATAAATGTATGTTTGTGAATAATGAATATTGGAAAAAAAAATAAAATAAATAATGAGTATTGCAAAATTGTATTAGAGACATACCTCTGCTTTGCTAATATTGATTACTTGCACCTCAATATCATCCAAGTCTACGCCCCACTTCTTCATTATGCAAAACGTTGAAGATAATTTCGTAGATGTGATAGTAAGATCATCTGAAATTATGTATGTTGTATCTCTCCTTACAAGCCCATTGCTACAATGAGTTGTTGATTTGGAACTTCCATCATAGTTTGGATACATCAGTTTCAAATCATAGGGACGAGAGTTTATTGTCACTAACCATGCATTGAAATCACTCGTGCAACATACATCAAGAAGTGGTGCCCGGAGCCTATATTTCCAAGGAAGGATATGTGTGCAAGTCAATGCATTTGTTCCTCCACTAGAGCGCAAGCTTTTCATGCTTTTACAAAAGTCGTCAATGCGTCCAAGTTCAATATTACTCCCAGATCTTATCCACAATAACTCCAAAGGTACAACCAAGAAAATGAAAAACAGATCTACAAAGTCTTGTCCGCTTTCCGCGTAAAGAACTTTCTTGTCTTGCTTCCTAACAAATACAATGATTGACAATACTTCATTTGATTCTGTTTCAACTCTCTCTTGTCCGGCTAGGCTTGGCATGTTATGCGTCCTTGTAATGATACATGAGTTTTGTTTCCTCAAGATCACATCAGCCAAGGGAATATCCGAAGAGAATAAGCATTCCAACAAAGCTAGTACTTAGATTTGGATTTTAACATAAATCAGATAACAAAGAAAACAAAGGTAATAGAATGGCAATGTGGCAATTTCACAAAAATATAGTTACCTCTTTGCGGCCATCTACAAACATCTCCTCTATATTGTCAAGATTTTTGTAACCAAGTCCTCTAAGTGTCTTCATAGTGAAAACAATGGAAGCAAATTCCACTTCCATATTTCCAGTAACCATGAATGAGGTCTTCTGGCTAACAAATATTTCATCAGAACCACCCGCAACTACTTTAATCTCTTCCGCCATCATCTCGCCACAAGAACATCTCAAGGAGCAAAAGTTACTATAAGCCTCGGAGCATGACTGAGATATTCCCAAATTTGGGCACCTATAGTACTTGAGGCCCTCGGTATCATCTATGTTAAGCTTAAGCCGTCTGCATTGCCTCTTTTTCGCATACCTTGGATACAAAAGTATCTGCTTACAAGCCTCAGTCAAGAAATAATCTTTTCCCACATCAACAACACCTTTGTAGAGATTGTTGAAACAACCTATTGTAGTACGAGTTTGAGACTTTTGATTCTCAAGCAATCTCACAATGGTCTCCATTGGCATCAACAGAAAACTAAAGAGTACATCGACAAAATCCTTACCAGCCTTGGCCAAGACAACCTTCTTCTTCTCCTTGTCCACAAGAAGTTTCAGCTTGAAAATTTGTTTCTCTGAACTCTCAGTACCAGCCATTGAAGAAGAATTCAAACAGTCTTCAGAATCCAAGTCCTCACTTCTGTGCCAGTAAGGCAATAACCAAAATTTCTTGAAATGACGTTCCATGTATAGAATTAATGATTGAGATAATTATATTGATAGATGTTTACACAATATATATATACTGATTACAACAAGGGAACTAGGTTAATTCTATCGACATTACTATGCTTTTCATATATACTCTATA